GCATGCATGCAGGCATCCATTCACGAAAGCATCCATGCATGCAGGTGCATACATGCATCCATACAGCACACAGGCTTTCAGATCACGCAATAACAGCGACGACATCACCGACAAAACCCAGCAAGAGTCCTACACGCATGCACAGATAAACCAACAAACAGGAAAGCTGAGCCAGAGAGCCCTATCCAGCAACAAGAAGAAAGCAAACAAGAGCTGTAACGAACTCGCACAACACATGCACCGAAACAGAAAATTAAACAGGCAAATGCAATTACCTGGCGAAGGAGCCTTGTCAGGCCGGGGCTCTTCACATGGCCTAAAACATACGCTGACCAAGAGGCGCCGACTGAAGTACTGCAACAGACACACAAAATGCAACACAACACCCAAAGGCCAATCCTAAGGCACTCCGTGATCAACTAGAAACATTTACACATAAAAGAACAGCAACACATCATGAGTTAAGGTGTTCTCATCAACATAGCATACCTATACATAAACGCAGGTGCTAGTGAACACCCACCAATACGACGCATTTATACGTAAGCACATCACAGGAATACAACTATATGCTAATACATGATATATATATATATATATGCACGCCTTTGAATGCATGTTCATTCATAACAGGCAATATCCATATGAACACGTCTTGAGATGAACGTGAAGGTAAAAAACTGAATGGATACAGTTGCATCGTTTAGGGGGTCCTATACGCCTCACGTGTACAGCACAACAGGAATGCCGAGGCCCCTCATGGGATCTCCACTGTGGGCTGTTAATTCGACCTTCACAACCCGTACAGTTGAAGCTCTGACTGTCCGCATTTTCTGAACCTGCAAGAAGACAATGGGCAGCTCAGCTGCCGGCCGCTTCCCTGCATCTCCGCTTATCTCATCGAACACCTCCTCCAGATAACCATCCACAACCTCCCGCATCTTTCTTGCTATTTCCACGCCCACTGCCACCTTCAACTCCTGAGGCACCCGACGAGAAGAAGCCTCAAACGGACGAGGAACTCCCACTGTCACTGTGAAATCCAGACGCACAGCTCGGCTCGAACGGCCTTCCCGCCTAAACACAACAGCAGCAGCAGCAGCAAAGCCACCAGCAGCAGCAGAAGGGGGAAGTTGGGTGGTTTTCTTCATACAGATAAGCTCCTGTAGCGTTGTCGAGTGAACGGCAACGCCATCCAAGGGCGATATCAAGAAAGCCACAAAGACTCAATCCTACTCCCATCAGTAAACACTAAAGGCAATCAATCATTGTTCAATTTCAAAGACGCAGCCCTAATGCCCTACATCCGTACATATATATATATATACATATATATATATATATTCTCACCTGAATATGAATTCCCGCCCTTTACTTTTTGACTGGTGGCCGTGGCCGTTCATTTTCCTATTTTTTCTGCTTGTGCTGTTCACCTCCGCAGCAACACTGAGGTAAGCTCCCAACATGTTGTCTGGATCAGCTGCCATGAGAGAAGCAATCGTAGCGTACTCTCTGCAGCAACACAGGCATAAGACAAAAGAAACAAGGACAATCAGCAATACACGCAAACAAACACAAGAAGACACACACAGACAAATATACACTGAAGAAACGCATTACTACGCAAGCAGTAAACACACAAACACTGAAACGCAGATAATGCGCAACGGTGTGGGGCGTCAGTTCCATTAGAGGAAACACCAACAGTACAGACAGCTGCAATCGCCCCCCCTGTGGATATTCAGTCCTCAGCCCTGAATTTCTGTCAGCGCATGCAATTGATGCATGCATGCAACTCACGAGGTGCGAGAGCTGCCCAAATATATCAGCTTCGAGGGATTTTCAGATGCGCCGTTGCTGCTGCTGCTCGCCAGCACCTCGCCGATGGCAGACATGAGGGCAATTGCCTCCCGGCCTGAGAAATCAAAAACAAAACAGCAAACCCCGGCATATCCACGCCTGCATGCATCGGCAGTGTACGTAAGCGCAACACCTCCAAGGATACAGCTGCTCGCCTACTTGCTGTGTTCCTCGTGTAGAAGGAAATCGGCCCCGCGCCCCAGTCGACAGACTCCCTGCCGCGCAGATCGCAAACATTGTTGCTGCTGCTGCTGCTGTTGCTGCTGTGGTTTCCACTTGCAATCCACGCTCTCTCCAGCAGACGGTCCGAGAATCTGCTGGCGGCTTCAACTCCATCTCGTGCTGAAGTGGACAGCAGCACCGCAGGCCTCCTAGGTATGCCTTCACCGCCTTGCGATGAACCTTCTGCCTCAGGAGGCCCCAAAGATAACTGCAGCGCCAGGGCCGCCATTCCAGGGTACGCCGCTCCACAAGGCATTCGCGGGTCGTTCGGCTTCGGGTCCCCAATGCACACTGTACATACACCCCAGCAGCAACACAAGCAGCAGCAGGAGCAGTAGCAGCAATAGCAGCAGTAAAAACAGTATTAGCAGCGCACGAACAGCGGCTTGCATAGGAAAAAAGCAGCGGCAAATCAATCTCAGAACACAAACCAAAAAAAGGCAGAGACGAAGAGATGCACCAAGTTCCGCCGCTCTGTCCGCTCTGTACAAGGGCATGCAGTCGTTTGCACCTTCGTGAATAGGTGTTCAGAGTATGTAAATATGAATAGTATTGTAAATAAAATGATATGGTAGAAACGGAGGCAAATTATATATAGAGGCAATTTATACCCGGTGCTGCTCATGAAATAAACTTACGCCCTTGAAACAAGGCAGAGTCACCAACGGCAATCACCTGCACGGAATTTGGCTGAGCGTCCTTCCAAGCGCTGAAGACTCCGTTGCTGCGGGTGCTGGGCTTTGAGGTGTCTGTTGACCTGCTGCCTGGCGCAGCTTCTGCCGCTGAACCATACTGGGGTCTCTTGGAAGCACCACCATCAGACAAATTCAAGTAACCCGCCCCTCCCCCAACGTGCAACCGTTCTTGCTGCTGTTCATGCTGCTGTTGAATGCCTCCTTGAGCACCCTGAACTCCAGCAGCAGAACCACCACCAGCAGGAGCACTTGACTGCGGAGGTCCGAATATAGAGGAAATAACACCGGGTTGCCCTTTGCCCTGCATTGACAAGAGAACTGGTCCCTGAGAAAACCGCTGAGATTGATCCTGCGCCTGTTGCATGAGCGGCTGCTGCATAGGCTGAGGGTACTGTAGAGGCTGTTGCAGCAAGCTCGGTTGCGGTGGCTGCTGTTGCTGATACTGTAGCTGGGGCAGCTGCGGCTGCTGGGGCATTTGCTGCTGCATCTGTGGTTGCATCGTTCCAACTGAGGAAGAAAATGGCAGTGTTGGCGCAAAAGGTACTCTTGCTGTCCCAGTGGATGCAGTCCTCGGCGGGAAAGCCGCAGCACCTGCACCTGCAGGCAATCTGAATCCTCCCATGGGGCCCGTATTCGCCAGTCCTGGAGCTTGCTGTACCGGCGGCCCAACAAAGGGGCGGCTGTTGCTTCTGTTGGGGGGGGCTGGATGCGGATACTGCGGTTGGCCCCCCTGCATCAGACCGGGGGCTGGGGGCCACGGCTGGCCCCCTAACGTGTATGGGTTGTTGTTGGGTGGCCCATAGAAAGCAGCTTCAATTTGTTCACAGAAAATGTAGAAGAAGGCTGCAACGGCAGCAACAAAAAGAACGGACGCCTGGGGTTTCGAGGCCCGCGGGAGCGGGCGCTCTCCCGCGCAGGGCATCGTCGCTGACACCAACAAAGGCCGAGGAAGCTGCAGAGAGGAATAAGAGGCAAATTAATGAGTGAATAACGGGTTGAAAAAGAAGAGGATATGCATTTTAAACCTCTTGGAAGTACATTATGACGCCATTGCCGCCGGATCGTGGGCTGAAGGAAAGCCAAGTCCCATCGGTATTCGGAACGGTGCTTCCGGGCTGTATTGACACTTCGATATCCTCTCCTGCGCATGAAAGCAACAAATAGAAGTGGAGAGGCTTATTTTTCTTCATTTGCAATTGATAAGGAAGTCAAAGGAGTATGAGTTTGTCTGTCTACCTTCGGTCCAAGTTATGTATGCCCTTTCCTCTTCATGCTAGAGCTGCTACAACAGATGCAGCGGGAGACGGAAGCGTGTGTTCGTTCGAGTAAAACAAGTAAACTGTTTTATTATCGACTTCCTCCCAAGTTATTGCCAAATATTTACTCAGAAATGCGCAGGCTTTGCACTGTGTTGTGCTCAAGTTGTGTGTTTTTCTGCTAGCCTCACTTATCTCCTCTGGTGCTTGTGCGCGCACTATATGGAGTTAGCTCGTGAACTCTTTCTGGAGGAGACTAAGGGTGATCTTACTCTTGCTTAGCAACTGTCTTCTCCTGTTTCACTGTGTCAGTGCTTGCAACATAACGGGGGCCCGATGAAACTTGCATAAGGCGTCGTTGGTGGCTTACAACAGAAGTAGCAGCAAGGAGTGCTGCAACTAAGGTGATACAGAAACAGAGGCCCTCTCAGCTGTCTTCGATATCAGCCAATTAGGCTTCTGTGCCACTGTGTTCAGAGTTCATTATATACCTCTTTCTTGTCGTTCTTTGGCTGTGTTGCAACTCACAACTTCTCTTGGTTTTGAGTGTCAAAGAGAACTGTTGTTACAGCGCCACTTGTACACTCAGCTGCGTAGCGCCGAAGATGAAGCTATTCACTTGAACTCCTCCTTCATTTGCCACTATATCTAACCGGCGAGTAAACTTGAATTACATAAATTATAGAGAATTACATACTGGCGGAATCAAGCACTTCAAGACAATCTGCACTGGCACTTTTCAATTACTTCGTTAAATAAGAATAAAGGGGAAAACTATTATTTTATGAAAAAATAATACAGTAAACCACCGCCACGAGAAGCCGAACCCATGCCAACGCGTACGCGACTTCACTCAACAAATAAACATCTTTAATGCAGCATGCATCTGTTGTTGCTGTCTTTCATATGCTAAATTTCCTCCCCCTTACACAATCATTGTTATCCTTTTACTACTCATTGTATTGCGTTCAGAATTGCACTCGCCTGTAGTAACTGCAGCTTCTCTTGTTGCAATAACTGCTGTACTTTTGAACCTCTGCAAAAAATGAAAGAGATAATATCTCTCTACTGGCACCGCTGAAACTGCACCCACCACCATTCGCCCCTGTACACAACTAAGCATATATATATATATATATATATATATATATATATTATGGATGTTCTGCAGATACTCGCTACAAGATGTGTGTATGAAGACGTCCGGACAGATATGCAGAGGCATATATTTATATCGACACAAAAATCTGTTGTCCATACTCTAAAAAGATGCGCAACTTCGCCCCACAGGAGCAAATGGTTAAGAAGCAAAGCAACAAAGTATCATTTCAAAGAAGCAAACAAAAATGCTGCTGCGTGACAGGCAAGAAAGCATCAGATACACGAAAAAGAATTGTGTGTCGATGTCGTTACAACATCTACAATAAAACTTCAAAATGCTGGAAAGCTATACTTACGTACATTCAAGTCCCTAGGGAATGCAAGCACTAATGCTTTGGTGTTCTTCAGACGGCTTTTGCCCTGTTGTTGCTTGCATCGCCACACAGAAGAAAAGAGCAAAGCTCTGAGCAGGCTCCTACATATATATCTATATATGTATACACCAGAGTAATGCTCATCTAATATATATATATATATATAGTCTTCTTAGAACGCCTTGATGATGACTTTGATATGGGTTGTAGGTCTCCTCCAGATGTTCATTCTGCCTCGAGCCTTGAAGAAGGGCCTCTTCATGACGGGTCCGTTGGTGGCAGTCACCGAGACGAGCTGAGGTTTAATCTTTTGATCTCCGTGCAGATTCACTGCATTAGCAATCGCCGACTCAATTGCTCTAAACACAGCAAACGCAGGCCGCCGGGGGGAAGTAGCGAGATGCGCTAGAGCCCCAGCCAAGCTCTTCCCTCTCAACTCCTGAATAACGCGGCGCGTCTTGATAGGAGACAACCGTAAATACCTCGCGTTACACTCTACGTACGGAGGCGGCAACGTGCGTTCTAGTGCAGGGGCTCCACCATCAGCTGCCTCTGCCTCATCCAAGGTGATCGGGTCTGGAGGGGCGAGGAAGGACAGCTTCGCACAGAGCGCCGAGTCTGAAGCCAAGTGTATTTGCAGTAGCCTCTCGGTTGGAAAGGAAATGCGTGCAGGGGAGTTGACCGGAAAAACAGAAACGAAAGAGTGGCGGCTGTGCAAGCCCGAGGGGGAAACGCCCAGCTGATGAGGGAAACTCTGAGCCTCAGGAGGAGTCAGTGACGGTACTTTAGTTGTAAATAGAAGGCAAGAAGGCCTACGCTTCAAGGAATCTGCGGTGGCCTCAAGTATACAGGCGATCAAGAGGAGGGCAAGGCATGCGGAAATACGCACAGCCCACGAACGTGCTAAGCGCATCGTTGTGAGCAGCGACGTCTCCACAAGGTTAAAAACAACATGAAATTGATTGTTCCATTTTAAAAGCCAAAACTAAACAGAAGAACCAGCCTGAAAACCAACAAACAGTGCTTGATCTCACAGACAATGCATGCAGTGCCAGTGAGTGTTCCTCCCTACTTGTCTATACACCTGACCGTTGCTGTGCATTTAGGATGTTCTTCCATATCATTTCTTGTCTTCCACAGGTAAACTTGAAATTAAGTGCAACTAACATTGACAGACACATCATTTGTCAAGAGTTTTCCACGTTGTTGTTCTTGTCCTTATGAGTCGTCCGGCCGAATAATTCTAATAAGGCTCCTTCCTCCTCTTACACACCTCCGCAGGTACCACTGTACAATTCAGTGCTATCTTGGATTGAAATGAAGTGTGTTTGCGTGAAATAACACGTTAATTCTATTTCAAAGTGATAAGCAACGTTATCACGTCAGATTTCTCTCCTTTCATAATCTTTATCTATCCGTGTCAGTCATGCAGTGGTCTGTCTGCCTGTAGAGAAGCGCAAGGTGATAGCTGCCTTCATCTCCCCCACCCTCCTTCCTCGCTTAACCCCCCTAAGTACACCCGATGGTTCTTTGCATTGTCTTTTCTCTCCTAATGCAGTTTCTGCTCCGGTAACGGTTTTCTGCAGCTCCTTCCCCCCCGTGACGATTCAACCACAATGGAAGGAGACAGCCGCATTTCCCGTGAAATTACGGGTGCAGACACCCCGACAAACTGCGACGCGGAGCTTCGAATAAAGCGAATGGAGTTTCGAGTGAAGACGAGGAACGCTCTTCAGCCAGAGTTCTTGCAGGCTTTTACTGAGGTGTGCGACTCCTTGCGGCAATTTCTAACAAAAAACCCGCAATATATTCCTGCACTTGAGGCAATATCAGAGCCAGACCGCCTCATCACATTCAGAGTACCATGGTTTGATGATAAAGGCTCTCTGGTACGTCTGTGTTTACAGCACCTTCGGGTGTATTCGTGGCGTTGCTTATTGCATCTTGCTAGACTATCGCTGTTCCTGGTTTTTGTTGCATATTAAGTGCTTTATTATACCTCGTCTTCTAGCTTCTTGCAGCATCTTATCTGCTCTACTAAACTTCTTTTTCTTCTTTGTTGCAGCGTGTAAACTGCGGCTATCGCGTTCAGTTTAGCTCTGCAATTGGTCCCTGCAAGGGCGGTCTGCGTTTCCATCCCACGGTGTCTTTGTCTGTAATTAAGTTTCTGGGTTTTGAGCAAATATTCAAAAATAGTCTCACAGGCCTACCAATGGGAGGCGGCAAAGGCGGCTCTGACTTCGACCCCAAGGGGAAGTCCGTTGCTGAAATCCGCCGGTTCTGTCAGGTACATGCTGCAGCGCTCCTTTTGTTTGGAGCCTCTTCTTCTAAATATTCAATACTGCGGCTTATTTGCACAACAGTTCATCTTCTCGTCTGGTTGTTGCGTCATATATATATATATATGCATGTTTGTACATAATCTATACTACATGCATATTGTGGTTGATGTATCATTATATGTACGCTTGTGCATAATAATATATTACACGTAAATGTAAGTCTAAGCATACACTATGTTTAGAATGCATATGGTTAGGGTGGCATAGTGCTAAAATTTAATGAGTTTATTACAAGGGCGCTACTTTCTGCTGTCTTTTCAGTTTTGTGTTGAGTTGTGTTTTTTGTCTGGTGTGTAATGTACGGTTTGAAGGAAGACAAAATTTGTTGTTTTGTTTTCTATTTTGTGTTTTGTTTTAATTTTGTTTGTATTTGCGATTATTATTATTTTTTCTCAGAGTTTTATGACGGAGTTAGCAAAGCATATCGGCCCTTCCCGCGACGTCCCTGCTGGAGATATTGGAGTGGGAACGCGCGAAATAGGGTTTCTTTTCGGCCAATATAAACGGCTTTGTTCAAACTTCGAAGGAGCTCTCACAGGCAAAGACATCGGCTGGGGGGGTTCTGAAATACGCCCAGAAGCGACAGGATATGGATGTGCATATTTCGCTGAGAATGTGCTTGATCAGCTCCTCGTGAGGGAAGATAATGAATAAATATTACAACAAATACTAATATAAATGAAAAAGGAATTAATTGACAGACAGAATCCCAAAAAACAAAAGAATACTACACTGTAGCACCTCGCAGGAAATTCAAGAAATCGTGCACAATAATTATGTACGAGTGCTGTTATTATTATAGTATTGACATTATATTTAGAAATATAAGTAGATATTTTGTTCATATTGTTGTATTGATATTATTTTATTTTTATTCTTCTCGCTTTCCTTGCTTTTTTTCTATTCTTAGGGGAAACGCCGCCTTAGCCATCGACCGCCTCTTCTCCTCCTCCCTAGCGATTGCATTTGTTTGTTTCTTTGTTGTTTGTTTGCGTTTGTGTGTCTATGATTTCAGAATGACACTCTGAAGGGAAAGAAATGCATATTGAGCGGCTGCGGAAATGTAGCGGTGTACTGCGCTGAGAAGCTGCTGGAAATGGGGGCTGAGGTGTTAACTCTTAGTGACAGCTCAGGAACAATATATTGTTCTGCAGGTTTCTCTAAAGAGGAAATTCGAACAATTAAAGAAGCAAAAGCGACAGATAGAGCAGTCAGAGTCGAGGCCTTTGCAAATGTAGGAACAAAGAAAACAACAGAAGACAATGGCTTCACAAATATGAAAGGAATATCTTCATAACCCTCTTTCTCCACAGCTTCGTTTATTTGTTTACTTGCTTATTTAGTTATTTGTTCATTGTCAGCCGTAAATCCGCACTATCCTTCTCTTATTCATCTGTTTTTCGTTTATCGTTTATCATTTTTGCTTTTGTTTTAACTCAGGGGGAATCAGTAGTTTTTGAACGAAGAGGAACACCCTGGTCTGTTGCCGCTGATTTAGCGTTTCCATGCGCTAAGGAGAACGAAATAGGAGAAGAAGCAGCAGTTTTAATGTGCAAGAATGGATGCAGAGTGGTGATAGAGGGCGCTAATATGCCTTTAACACCCAAAGCCATCGAAGTATTCACAAAAAATAATGTCATCGTCTGCCCTGCAAAAGCAGCAAATGCCGGTACTTCTCATCACATCCCCATTAAGAGGAAAACCAAAAGATATCCGAATTTCCTGTTGAATTCACCTTCATTAGTTTTTATTCGTAAACAATCTGCAGCTTTTTGCAGTTGTTGAAGGAAGATGCAGTGCAACAGACAGCACGGCATGTCATATATATATATTTGTCTATGCGCGTTTATGTTTAATGATGCCTCTGTTACCTTACTTATATATCATTGAATTTCACTCCCTAAGTCATTAAATCTCAGTTGCTCCTTCTTAACTGGCTTTGTCTTCTTCGCATTTCTCCTATAATACGTTCACAGAAGTCTCCCCGCATGGTTATTAAATTATCTCTTCGCACTTAAATATTTGATTGAGAAACACTGCATAATAATATAATAATAATAATCCTCAAAATTACAGGCTGCAATTATTTTTGAAAGCCTTTGAAGCTAAATGCCTTTCCTCCTTTCTTTTTTATATTTTTCTATCTTTTTATTTTTTTCTTTTTCTCTTATTTGCTTAATGCATTTCTGTATTTCTGAACAGGAGGTGTTGCTGTTAGTGGATTGGAGATGAGTCAAAACGCAATGAGATTAAAATGGAGTCGGAAGGAAGTAGACGAACGTCTTCATCAAATAATGAGAGAAATATTTGAAAAATGCAGAAAAGCAGCAAAAGAATTCGGAAAAGATGAAAAGGATTTAATTGCAGGAGCAAATGTAGCGGGTTTTCGTAAAGTTGCAGATGCATTTATTGCAGAGGGTTTTGTTTGATATTGCTCTGCTTAATAGGTTTGCAATTCATGTGTCTTTATTAATATTTAATCTTTGGTATTAAAATATACATATTATTAAATATTTACTACTATATTATAAACATAGTGGCATTCATTATGAAACGCTTTACGCGTCATATATATATATATATATATATATATATATATGAGGTTTCTCTCTTACGTGTTGAAGCCTCATTGCAAGTAGCGAACAGCTGCATGCATGCAGTATTCTTTTGTAGTGTTAGCCATTTGTATATAATATAATATAGTATAATTTATTATTGTTAAGATTTATGTTTTTGAGAATGTGTGATCTCTTGTCTCCAAAGGAGTTTACTTATCCTTGCAATTCAGACGCCCTTATATTTATTTCATTTCCTCTTCTTTACCTGTCATTTGCATTATTATGCAAAATGCTGTTTGCTGCATTTTCATCTTCTAATTGAGAAGAGGTGGCTTTGTCTTTATAAGTTATTTCTCTTCAACACGATGGAGCCGCTCTTCTACTGCAGTATTTTTGTGTTCTGCATTATTAAAAACATATATCCCTCTGCCTATTTTATTTCAGGGTTTATTCAGGGTTTAGGGTTTAGGGTTTAGGGTTTAGGGTTTTGCTGTGCAAACAAGGGTTTCAAAACTAGAAGCCAACATAATGAGAAATTAATACTGCCAGCGTCTGCGCGGTGTATATTTATTTATAAATTCATAAATATACAAACAAAGCAACAATTACATTAGAAAAGCAAGCTACATTGCAGTATACCTTTAAAACTATTAAAACTATTTAGTAAATATTATTTTTATCGTACACCTAAAGAGACTACAAGCGAATTATAATATTTTCTGCAAGACAAAAGAAGAGCGCACTCTCGCTCATTTAATTCTCCTTAGAGAGGTTAGTTAAAGAAACTTTCAGGATCTGTTTATCAAAACGTATTCTATTAATAGACGCTGAGAGTTATATTAATCATCATATATAATATATGTAATATATGTTACATGCATACATACATACGTAGATATATATATATATATAGTTGAGGCATCATTATCATCCAGACGCTGCGTTGTTTCGCTATATCGCAGCAACTTGAATAATTGGGTTAAAGACAATCAAGAGATAAATAAAAACAAAAATAATAAAACTGAGGGTGAACGGCTATGCACGCACAACGCGCTGCTCACCTGTACGGATACATTCAAGTTCGTGTGTATACACCGTACGTGTGCAAACATACGAGTATATTTACATAGTATGCTACATGTACACATGTATATATATATATATATATATTTTAGAATGCTCAGGCCGTTAGAGCTAAACCAGAGGCGGAGAGAACGAAACTATCATGTCTTAGAATTATTTGTTTGAATGAATTTTTCATGTATTCGGGAGAAGCTGCAAAATAGTGGATCTAATCGCCTCAGTGCAATATATATATATATATATATATATATATATATGCATATATATATACCCCCCTACATTATATATATAATGTAGGGGGTGCATTTATATACTCTTATACTTGGACGAGTATCTGCAAACTATTAGCACTTCTCTGTATATTTGCATATATTAGATATTACGAACTGCAGTTTTGCACGAGCGGCAAACGGTAGTTGTGTCTGTCTGCTGTGTTCAGTTATATTTTAAAGCTTTTTGCTCTAACGCTAAGTATTCGAATTAGCGTTTAATAATTTTGTTTGTGTTTGTTAGGGGTAAAGGGTTTATTTAGGTTGGTGTACTCATGTTTGAGTGCTGTCCATACAGCTCAGACAGAGAGCCACGCTGGGAGTTTGCGTTTACTGGGAAACGAAAGTTTTTAATTCCTCTATTGGTGTTCTATTTAGCGAATGATATATTCTTTGTCCTGCTGAAATGATAAACAAATTGAATCTTCTTTGTTCGGAGTCTGCACGCGGAATCTTCGCTGCTGCTGATGCATACAACAACCCCCTAGAGCAGTATAAACTCAGAAACCTCATTGGGGGCTTAGAGTCTTAATTGCTAAGATCAGAGGATATTCATGTAGATAAGCTTCATTATGACTTTGTATAGAGTGCATTATTCTTGAAATGAACAAATATTTCAAAGATTGGAGGTGCTTACTGTTGGGCAGAGCCGGGCTGTACATACACCGCGCATGCGGTCAGATTGGTAGGCGCTTCGTTTAATGATGAACGAAAGTCATTCAAAATATGAATATAATTATTTCCTGAGATTCTTTTGTGAACATTTGTGTCAAATAAATGAAAAGTGGCTCATTTTCATGGCTTTTCCTCTTATTGAATTGCTGCTTCCCTCGCAGCGAGTCGGCTTAGAGCGTATATACAACGGTTGTTCTGCTTCCACCAGAACGCAGTTAGTGTTGTGCGATTTAATTGTTTTTCTTACAAGTGCATAATTATCAAATTTGTTCTACTTGTGGGGTCTAGCGGCTTGGAACAGACAAAGAAGAGGCTCGAGGAAGCAAACAAAGGAGAAAAAAAGACAGAGCAGGAAGGAGCTTTCTTCCGCAGCATTTCTTACTCAGTGAGCTGCGCCTTCTTTAAACTTCATACACTATCCTTGAGAGAACATTGTTTTTTTAGGCTCAACCTTGGAGCTGCAGAGACCCTGCAGGCATCATATCTCATCAGTTATTTGTATTATTTCTGCATTTTCTTTCGCTTCCCCCTCAAGGCAAATAGCAATAGCATTGAAACAAAGTGGCTTTTCCGCTGTCTCTAAACTAAGCCAAAAGCCGTGCAGTGCACGCAGCAGCAGCAGCAGCAGCAGCAGCAGCTGTCTTTATGCTGCAGCGTGCGTGCAGCACGAGGGCATATTGAGTTGCATATAATATACTTCTGTATATCCTTATACAGCGGAACGTATACAAACTTCATCTGATTATCTCTTTAGATAAGTTTATACACCTCAAGCTCTTCAAGAATGAGCAGCAGACAAAGAGGCCCTCTCGTGTATTGGGAGAAACAAGGGGCAGGCCGCATGTGCGCTCTGCACTGTCTTAACTCTGTGCTGCAGGTAAGGTGTCTACTGCTTTATCTTCTTCTCTTTTGCAGCAGCACAGCGCTTGTTGTATGCTATTATACTACTTACAATATGCATTATGCTTTCTAAACCCTCCGCTGATCCCATGCATGCATATATATACTATAATTATTTCATTATATTTTATTATTATATATTGTATACATATACTATTATTATTTCATTATATATTCTTATTATTTATTGTAGATTGCTGCAGAAATTCTTGTATTTTAATGAGTTTATGAAGACAAATGTTTTTATGCGAACAAAACAACAACATCTTTTTTTCATTAGTTTCTCTTGGGGTGTATAGACATGATATATATGCTTTAAAGGTGTGTTAGATTTCAGGAAGAAAAGATATTACTGATGCTTTTAAAAATGCAAGAAAAATGCATGCATTCATGCATGCATGCATGCATACATTCATGCATGCATTCATGCATGCATTTTTTTTTTGTTGGTGCAGGGGCCTTACTTCACTGAAGCGGAATTATCTTCTATAGGCATGGAACTCGATCAAAAAGAACGCCAACTTATGGCAGAAGGAGGTTAGCTGCATGCAATACTTGCTGCTGCATGCAGCGCATGCAATCCTTGCTGCTGCATGCAATCCTCACTGTTTTATGCAATCCTTGCTGCTTCATGCAGCGCATGCAATCCTTGTTGCTGCATGCAATCTTTGCTGCTGCGTGGGGCTGCTGTTGCATGCAGTTTCAGTTAATGTGCGCTGGAATGATGATAGCCACAGTAGATAGAGGGTGTGAGCTGTTGCTGCAGCTAATGGTGTGTGCATGCATTTTGTTTGCAGTCTTAGACTGCATCA